GTTGGTTGGTTGGTTGGTTGGTTGGTTGGTTGGTTGGTTGGTTGGTTGGTTGGTTGGTTGGTTGGTTGGTTGGTTGGTTGGTTAGTTGGTTGGTTGGTTTTGAGGCTAAAATATTGTTTTTATCAGCCACCACCATGAAAAGCAAGCATCATGTAAGTGTGAGTGTGTTCATGCCTTTTAGGGAAATATCTTATAAAAATTAAAAAATAGTGACGAGTCTATAAAGAGTATTATGGCAACATTTAGTGTGGTAGTAGCTGAGAGTCGTCTCCCTCACACTTRCGAGAACTAAAAGGCAACACAGGATCTTTGTTTAAARCKTTGCCATTAACTGTTGGAGTCAGCCGTGTCTGCCTGTTAGCAAGATAACTCAAACTACTGAGTGAACTGTACTGAAACTCTCAGGACTCAGCGTCTGGATGTAAATATACAACTGCTGAACTTCTGAGGTCAAGTGAATTCAAAATGGCTGCTGCAGCTAAACAAATTTAGCAAAATGCAGAAATGGTTATAATCAGTGATTTTCACAGATTTTGAGCATGGTCGTAGCTCAAAGTCAACCATAACCTGTACTTTAAAATGCATTTTTATGCATACTGGTGAGCTCCTGAAAGAGATCTTTGTTTAACACTGCTGTCCACAGCAATGCTCTTTTTATTTTGGATGAATTCCTCTGTTTTTCTTATGTTGCATTCCCTCTAATGCTAAAGCTACCTTACAAAAAATAGTGTGCATTCTTATCAAGCCTTCACACTATTGAGATATTTTTTCTTCTTAACATTTATCAATACAAATCTTGTTCCGCAATTTTCAACAATTTACGGTGATAACTTTTTAGCTCTTTCAGGACATTTTCTGCCATTTCTTTTCAAACTGTAAATGAATGGAGCTGTTTCTAAAACTTTTCTGTACTTTTTACCTTTTGCTCTACTTTTGTTTTGTTTTTATTTGTTTGTTTGTTTGTTTGTTGTTTTTTTGTGCTAATTTCAGATCCCATCTGCACCTATTTAGTTGATTTTAGCTTTATTCTGTTATTTTAGTTATTTTTCTGACTTTTTCTGCTACTCTCCTGCTCATTTAAAATTTTTTGTTCTTTCAGCTGCTTTGCTCATCTCAGCTCTTTTCTGTTTAGCTACTTTTCAGAAAATTTCACAAATTTAGGCTTTTTTCAGCAAAAATCGTAGTTTTGTGATAATTTCAGCTTCTTACTACTTAATTKAGCAAACATATACATATGCTCTTWCTKTTTCTTTCTCRYTGTCTGCCAATTKTACTCATYTTCTTTTTTAGCTATTTTAGGCTAGTTTCAGCTTTTTRGYTATTTCAAAACACATTRCAAGTACGTCATTTCTTGTATTTGCTTATTCAAAAATTTTCACTCCCGTTTCATTGTTTGTTATTTTTAACTTGTTTTATCTACTTTTAGCTTCTTTTTGCTCATTTTAGCTACTTTTTTCCTCTTTTCAGATCTTTATACCCTTTATTTTCCATCTTTCTACTGATCTTTCGTTGATCTACTTTTAGCAAAAGTCAGCTGTTYAAATGTAWCTCGCACTAACAACTTTGCTATTAAACCTTTTCAGCTTTATTTCAGCAGTTTTCAGCAAAACTCTTGCTACRTTACATTCACACTGCATTTACACAGGAAACGCAATTTCTCTTGTTRTTTTAAACTAACCAAATTTCTGGATTAAACCTACATTGTGAAGTTTAGTGGGACTGTGTTTCCACTGTAGTGGCTTTAAAGAGCAGCTTTAAAAAGCTGTAATCAATCATCGACGGAGCTGTGGGAAGCAGCGATGTCAGTTTAGCAGAGCTCTCCTTGTTTACTGGTCAAAGGTGCCAGCGACTCACAGTGGAAAAGATTAATGTGGTCAAGATATCTCCCAGCAAACACCACTGTAGCTGCAAACTCCTAGYTTTCACTAAAGGAAGAAAAACAAACATTGCTCGAGCAAAGGCAAGCGAGTCGACAACAGCCCTGGAAGATTTATGCACACAATACTGTTTGCAGAGTGTAAGGGCACATGGTCTGTGGAAAGTCAAGAGCAATTCATCAAACTTTTCTGTGCAGTCCRTGTTGTCAGTTTCTACATGTGGAAGAAAAAAAAAAGCAGCTGAATTATTCACCTGAGAGAAATTTAGGATTCTGTGGGGATGAGACAAACAGTAGCTATAATGTTTGGGGGAAATGTGCAGAAGATTATGAATGTTTATTTTACCAATTTATTTTTTGTTATATTTCTTTTAATGACAAACRTCCATTTGTCTGTCTKTTAGCAAATTATCTCATGAACCACTGGATACATTTTATTGAAACTCTCAGGAATAATGACCATATATACTTCTACAGCTACTAAACCTAAGCAACATAAAAAAAA